GATGTATTCGATATAACACACAATCATTGGTTTCGATTATGGTCGTGCTCACTTTCTCGTTGTTTCGCTGGATGTACAACTCCCCTCGTTCCAACGAACGTCTCTACAAGTCAATCTTTTACTATAATACTATTAATCATAATAGTATTATAGTATATTATTTCTTACCCCAAAAAACCTTTATTTAAGACATTAATTATGTAAGATATAAAACACTCAATAACAAACTGATTTTTCGTTGGAAACACCAAACTCTGACGTCATCACCTCAAAAAGTTCTTTTCCTATCCAAGACTCTCTTGCCTCAGTACAAAACCAGTGATAATAGGGTTTGACCCATCTCATCCCGTCGATAACTACTTCCTCGTGATTAACAGTTTCTTGTGGCACATTCTTTTTCTTTTCGACCTTCCGACGCCTTTCAGCCGCTATTTTTTCACGACGCAGTTGCCTTGGTGTTTTCTCCTTCTCTTGTGCACGGGGCTTTTTTTCCTCGTTCAACCTTTTCTCCATCCAACAAAATGAAACACCTTTTTTAGTTAATATTAATAAAACTATTCTAAATTTATAGTAACTATAAATTCATTCAATTGTGGGCTTTTTTGGCAAAATTCGCTCTTGGATAGCCGCGGGGAGATACTTCCCAATCTGCTTTGAATCTCGAAGTGGGTTTTTCGCAATGCCAGAAGGGTTTGTAAACCACATCCGAACATCCTTTTTTCTCTCTTCCTCCTTTTGCTTTTGTTCCTCTTCTTTTTGTTTTTTTGTTGTTTCTCCCTCCGTGTTGGTGAATGGATTGTATTCAACACTTACGTCTCGCAACACAACGTCTTTTAACGGTCGGTCGTTTTCGTCAACTTCAACTGATTCGATCTTCTTGAGTGTTCCAAACCCTTCAGTCACCTTGCCGATAACTGAGTGAACTCTGTCAAGATGTGGCTGTTCTTTGAATGTAATAAAACTGTTCGTTAATAACTTTCCTCGTTAAATCACTGAAACAAAACATACAATTGAGAGCCGTTAGTGTCTTTTCCGTGGTTCGCCATTGAAATAACCCCAACAGAGTCGTGCTTCATCCCACAAAATTCGTCTTTCAGTTCAACACCCCAACACGACCTTCCGCCGTTCCCTGTCCCAGAAGGATCTCCGCCTTGCATCATGAACTTTGGTATAACACGGTGAAATAGTGTTCCGTCGTAATAATGTTCTTCGGAAAGTCGCATGAAATTTTCCGCAAGAATAGGGACCAAATCGCAGTGTATGTCCGCTTTGATAATGCCAAAATTTGTATCGAAGACAACTTTCCCTTTGTTTTTAACATGTTTCGGTTTTTGCCAGTCAGGTGCATCGGGGAGTGGTTCCGTTGAAAAACCCGCTGCTGTGAATGAGGGGGCCGAGGCGTTCCGCGTTTGTGGGACTTCCGAGTTCGACATCGTAAATGATAACTCAGATTCTCAAAAAAATCTTTTTTTAATCACAAGCAATTGAAGATTTAATTAACAACAACAGTTGTTGACCTTTTTAACAAAGTCATGAGTAAATACTTTTCACAACATTGTCATTGGAATTGAGTTGCTGTTTTTTGTATCCTCAAATGTTGTGTCTTTCCGCCACATTTCTTTAGTTTTGAGTGATTGGATTGAAAATATTGGAAAGAATCAACATTTAAGTGGCAAAAACAAAGATAAAACGAAAATGCGAACAGCATACGAAAAGTTCACTTATTTTTCCTGATGTTCGGCGTGGTGGGCGTGAGCGACTCTAATTGCCTCGAGGACTCTTGAGAGTTCTTCTCTTTTGGCAAGACCTCTCTTGTGGGTTCCGAGTTGCTTCTTAGCATACTTAAGGGCTTTCTTATCAAGTCCTCTTCTCAAGAGATCCATCATGTGTCTCTCGTATGGGGAAAAACCGGCTGCCTCACGGGTGACATCTTCGACAAGCATTTTAGTCTTTGAAATTGGTCTGCTAATTTGTCTTGGCTTGCTCAATCTGTGAACTGGGAATCCCTTCTTCAATCCAACTGCGACTCCTCTGCCCATGATCAACGATCAATTCAAGTTTTCTGTTTTTGTTTTTTTCGCATTTTTAGGGTAGATTACAAAACAAGGAGTTTTAAAAGCTAAGTTATTCATGTTAAACAATAATAAATAATATTTAATGGCTTTTTATTATACATTTATAGGTATTCTTAACTTTGTTTTTATGGCAAAACAATTCTTTCTAATAGGGTTAATTACTATGTATAAATTACTAATATAAATGATATAGTTTTTATAATTAATAAAAAACTATTATTTTATAAATTTCAAATTATAAATAATAGTATTATTAATAATTTGAAATATTATAATTTCTGTTATTATAAAACAACTAAATTTAAGTTATAAATTTTAATATAAATGGTATTATTTTATAATTATAATACATTTATTATTTTATTATTTGTATTAAAAAACTCGTTAATTTAACAATCAAAAAAAAATATTAATACATGTTAACAATTTTACTAAATTGAAAAATTGAAAATAAAACTGAATTTGAAAAGTAAGATTTTTTCCCAAAATGACTGATGAAGAACGAAGCAAAAAATATATGGAACAGAACTTAGGTAAACTGTTAGCCTATGACGAAACGATTTGTGCTCGTGTTCAAGAAAATGATAAAAAACTAAAAGAATTGGTTTATTCGAACTATTCAAAATTCATTCAAGTGACTGAGACAATCACAAAAATCCGAAACAACGCAG